GAATATTAATCATGACATGTTTTCTACGTTCGCCCGTTTTTGCTACTTTTTCCCATCTTATTTTAAATTGTAAAAAAGATAAAAATATATCTGTATGCCTTTTTTATAATTGTCTATTGTTGTTGCTGTTGTCTATCGTTGTCATCACTATTTGTTAAAATCAGGTCTCTCTTGTAAATGAGTCCTTGAGGCTCAATGGGATTAACCTGTCTAAATAAAGGTTGAATGAATGACACAAATGTCACAAATTTAGAAAAAAAAAATTGTGGTTTTTGAAAAAAGGACAAGAGGTAAAAAGTTGGCTATGTCATATTCCCTTTTGTCCAAATTATACAAACCCTCCAGTTGGTTCTACTTCATGGTGAAACCATCAATTAGCTATTTGCTACTTGTCAGCTACTTGTCTCATGTTTACCCCACAGGGCACATTAGCACAGATAACCATAATATCTGTTTGCAGAGTCATTAGGACCTTCTGCTACGGCAGAGGTGAGCAAGTGAATTGACATGGCACCACACACACACACACACACACACTCATTAAAAGTTATACAGGAAATTGGTAAACAGCTCTGCTTTGCTGCAAATCTTACCGAGGTTTGTGACCCGTAACTTTTATTTTCACATTGGCTCCTGAGAGATTGATTTAAATTTGCGGCTGGCATCGATTTGAGTAAAAATAAAAGATAATCATGTCATTGCAGGCTGATAATTGGTGCATGAGTTTGCTGATGACCTGTTTACCTCTGAAAAGTTTATGATTAATGGCCATCTTGTATGGTCAGCTAACCCTTATTGTGCACTTAATAACTTCCTTTGCTCCTTGAACTTCTCCTTCCCTGCCAAATCAAGCCAACGGGATGTGTTTTCATTCCCCAAACAGCCAGAGGGCTGCTTGTGTACTGTTAGTAAATTGTGTGCACCGCACATTGGCCTCTGCAGAGATTCCACCTTACAGCCATTGAAGCAGAGTGACATTATGAACAATGTAAGCTGCATTATGCTCATTTGTTCTGACCTTTTCGCCCCAGCATTTCATTATAGAAACAGATTAAAATATATTGATCTTGCTGGCATGGGTCTGTTTTCGCAGCTTTTTACCGGTTTCTGAGCCCACACTGTCTGCTGGCAAGGACAAATTTGAAAGCTTTTGCCAGCCTTATCGTGTTTAGTTTTAAACATGTTTTTTTTTTATTATTATTAAAGTTTAATCGAGTATTTCCCCCTGCCATTAGCCAGTGGGACTGCAAACGTCTCAACCACCGGCCGTCTAATCCCCATCATCAATCACACACCATGACTGTGGGGAGCATGAGCTATTAGGAATAACTGAAAACGCTTTCACTCCTTGACGCAAATGCATTCCCAGTGTTTCCACTCAGACTTGTGACCTGTTCAGGGAGTGCTTCCCTCTTGCCCATGACCGCTGGAGTTGGGCACCAGCTCCCTGTGACTCGAAAAGGAAAAAGCTGGTAAAATATAGGTGGATGGATTTACTTTTTTTTTATGTACAACCTTAATATGACATTTTTTGACTGCAAAAATTAGATTACCGACAATCAAAATGTGTTAAAATTTGGACAAAAGTTGGACAAGTTTTGATTTAACCCCCAAAAAAGTAGACTTCATCTGATTAATATTTGGAGTTGACTCCATTTAAGATGGTTTGCCAACCTCAAAAGCTTAAAAAGCACAAAAATAGCTATAATTCAGTCAATATTGAATTTTAAAGGTAATGACTGAACATTTGATGTGGTTGTAGAGACTGACCCATTAAAACTTTGCTATTAACTATTTGCAGTTCTGTGTGTCTGTTAGCAAATTATCCAATGAACCAGTGGACAAGTTTTAATGATAATCATTTGAACACCAACAACTGATTCATTTTTAGAGCCAACCCAATTTAAGATGGTCGCCACAGCCTCTTCACCTTAAATCACTATAAATCAGTAAAATTTGCAGATACTGTGCTAAGACCTACAAGTGCAACACATTACACAAGAGCTTTGTCTAAACATTAAGTATTAAATATTTGTAAGCAAATAATTTCATATTTCCCTGACAGGTTTTAATGAAATTTTAAGTAATCAACGAATGATCATCTTCAACGTAAATCCTTTTTTAAGTCACACCTGTTCAAGCCAACAAAAACACAATTAATTAAATTGCTATTTTAAAGGTTTGACCAAAACTAGAACTACTGTTTTGTCACAATATAAAATGATCTTAGTTTAAAATGTTCGCAAAACTGAGCAATATATATATATTCATTTAAGGAATGCCAGGCCTTTTGTTTATTCATTTATTTATTTTTTTTGTATGTTGAAAAATGAAAAATGTAAAATGTTGAAACATTTTATAATGTTCAACGTATTTATATTGATTTTCTTTCCAGGATAAAGCATTTTTAATGTTTCAATGTAAGGAAAACAACTACCAAAAGAAATTTGTTTGACCCCCTCTATAAAAAAAAAATAATAATGATAATCTGCCCAAAAATTGTAGCTGCCCATGCCTAGATATATAAAATTACAACAAATGAGTCCCTTTATCTAATAAAGAAACCCATGAAACTTTGGAAAAACGTCTCATTTTTTTGTTGATTAATCAACAAGTCATTCGTTTCATGCAGGGTCTGCAATTTTTGTCCTTTATTTTGTACCTTTCAAGTTGCTGACTTAATGAAAATGTGTAAAATTTGGTGACTTCTACAAATGTCCTCATTTACAGTAATAAAAGGGAATAAATATTGTAATAAATTTGTGCTTTAATATACTTTAAACTTTACTCCAGGCTACCATTAACACAAAATACAAGCAATTGTCTACTTTAGATATTGGGATATTTTGATACTCGTTTCAACAAAGTTAAACTACTTAAACTCTAGGTTATATATTCTAATATTATTTCTAAGTGTACTCACTAAATCATATCATTAAAAAAAGGACATGCACTCAATGAAAAAAATCTTTATTTTTCAGTCCCTCAATGGATTTTTATCATTTTCTCTCCTCTCACCTGCTTCGTCAGTCTGACTGAAATATCCAAGCTTAAATTTTTTGACACATTCATTTATTTGTCTATGTTCCATCCTCCTGATGGATCATCCTTCTAACAGGATAATGTGGGAAGAATGCAGCTTAAAGTCTCATATAGAAACAGTGACCTTAATCTGCAATTTCTTTTCATTACAGCCACCACTGAAAATAAATCTCTGGTCTTGGTCGTGCCTTTGTCATCTATATGTTTGAGTGCATTGGAAAATGTGTTGAGCAGAATGTATGAACTTACAGGCTGTGAAGCATGTACTGATATGTTCTGCTTCAGATAAAGACCGAGAATCTGTTACCTGCTGAAGAAAATGCAAATGTATGTGAATTTGTCGTCCTTTACTGAAGACACTGCAGTTCCATGCGAGGGAAGCTGTGTGGAGCATGAAATAGTTTCATAAAGCTTTAGGGTGGAGGTGTGTTTGATTTATAACAATTTCACATCTGAAATGGAGAATACTTCCAACCGTATCTTTTTTTTTTTTTTGGATACCATCTGTTGTTTAGAAGCCAAAATGTGGAAATTTGCATACATTAAAACTAATGAAAAACTAATGGGCCATCGCAAAAAGCCCGTGAACATGAGCTGTGACATTTCGTAGAAGCAAACAATCCTGCATACGGTGACATGTTTTGTTTCTCAAACAAATTACTTCTTTTTTTTTCCAAGGGCAGATGTTTCCACTACCAGCTCTGCTTTAAAACATCTCTGCCTGTTCCAACAATGTTCCGTCAGGTCATCTGGATGGTTTCTTCTGTTGCTGAGACGTTTCATCCTTCATCCGAAGGACTTCTTCAGTCTGACGAGGCACCGAACCAAACAGAATCCCACAAACAGCTCCCTCCCAGAGTGGAAAACAATTTGCTGGTGATGAGATGGCTTCTTGGTCTCGCCGTCTGTCCCGTCAACTCCCCCAAGGCAGACCCTGCCAAAGTGGTTGGAAACACCAAAGTTCTGAACATTGTTGGATTTATTCCTGGATTAAATGTTGGTGTGATTTGGCGCTGTATAAATAAACTGAACTGAATTGAATATTGCAGAAGTTGTGTGTGGCTACCTGGAAGCTGCCCGTGTTTCTTAGTTTAAATTGTTTTCCAATCAAACTGATACTTGCAGCATTCATGTTACCCCACATACTGCAGTTACCACTGGTGTTAACCCGTCATACACTAATTTTAGTCAATTTTGAGAAAAAAAAATACTACACTTCTTTATTAGCTCAGCTCAATATTATTGTCATATTTCGGACCTTGGAAGGATCAGTTCAGACTCAAAGGATGACCAGGAAAAACAGTCTGCCTGAATAAGTCATCAATTGTGGATTATCTAAATCTGACCCCCCGGTTGGCCTCGAAACAGGTCGACTTATCAGTTTCTCCTGGAAAATGTGTAAACTAAGGAAAAGCTTTGTCTATCGCAACCCCCCCCCCCCCCCCCCCCCCGCCCCAACTTCTGTGGAGTCTATCAGAACTGTGCCGGCCGACCATCATCTCATCTTATCAGGACAATGGACTATCTGTTTAGTGCTTCATGGATTACCTCGTGTCAAATGCATATGTAACGTGTTCATAAATGTGCTTTAGCTGGCAGAGTTTTTTTTATGTCTTAAATCGTGTTCTGTTAGGACGAGGTGTGACTAGATCTTTTTAGTAATGCCACTGTATCCTCTCCTCGTGGCTTTGTCCCTTTTTCTATCTAAAGAAATGTATTCTGTAAAGGATAAGAAGGCCGCGCTTTATAGCAGCAGCTACGTGCACTCCGCCCATCTTTCAGACGACCGTGCGAACATAATCTCGTTGCATCTCGGTGCAATGATAATAAAGCTTATTCTGATTCTGATATTCTGACTCGTCAGTTTTTGAAATATCCCTCTCTAATTATAACTTATAAAATCGCTCCATGTATGAAAGACAAAACGGTTGCTTACTTTGACCTTGTTCCATGTTCAGACCGACTGCTCCAGTGACAGTGAGAGCGAAGATAACTTCATCGTCGTCCCACCTAGAGACCACCTTGGCCTGGCCATATTCTCCATGCTCTGTTGTTTTTGGCCTTTGGGGATTGCGGCCTTCTACTTCTCACAGGGGGTGAGTCCACATACACAAAACTGTCAACACAGATATGGAATGATCATACCTTTCTAGCTGCGGTCTGTTACACATGAAGGATTCAGCAACTGGTCGTCGGGGTCTAGCATTATCCTCACCCACACATGCATACTGCACACATTTTCATGAAGCTGTGAACATTCCACGCACCTACGTCCACATTCCTGGCTTTTGGTGTGGGCCATTACCTGCAGATTAAGGACCATCACACATAATAAACAACCTTCAACTGGCTGTCCTGATGCAAGGCCAGTCTTTATGAAGCTAGCCATCAATAACTCAAGGCCAATCTGTAAGCTTGTTGCTCTGAAAACAGGCGGAGAGCCTCCTTCAGAAAGAGAATATAAATCACTTTAAAGGCTTTATCTGTAAACGCCAAGAAACGAGGTGTTCAAAGTGCTTAGGTGAGAAAGGGCCTTTGAACTATTTCCGGTTTCAAGAGGATTAAAGAAGAACCTAATTAAAGTTGTCCCAACATGTTGAGAATGATAAGCTTACAGACACATTAAAAAGACTTGTTTGAACTGTTGTTCTCCAGTTGAAAGAGTCAAACTTGTTGAGAGAAAAGCACAATAGCACTCTAAATTATGACATTATTCATAATGAATTGTTCATTTTTGTGTATTTTCTATTCAGAACCTGAGCTTTTATTTTGTACCTATCCTTAGTTTTAGGACCAGTGCAGTTTTTGTTTCAATTACTTGTCAAATACTTAAGCCTGGGGTGTGTTTTAATAGTTTAAATGTCAGATCTTGGATTTGAAATTAGATTTTTCACTTGGTTTCGGTTACATCGATATGTCGGTTTTAGAGCCAGTACAATTAAAAGCAAATGGAAAATGGAATATTCTCTTTATTTGAAAGAACCCTCTTTTTAGCGTCAAAACACTAAAGCAAGCCATATACAACAAAGTAGAATTTGTCAACTAGTAACGTCATTATAAAATTAAAGAATAAAAGTCTTATTGTACCATCTTATTAATTTCAACATCAGTCATTTCCTTTAGGCCGTGTATCAAACTAAACTATTGACAACTGATATAAAACTGAGAACGTATCTTTTGTTAGAATAGTAGTACAAGACAAATGTTTGTTTTATCTAATGTGATCTAAATGTGATGCTAAATAAAATCCACATGCAGCGTTGAACATTTCTCAATGTGAAAGTACAAATAAATCATGAGTTTAGCTCTCACACCCTTAATGAGTTCTAGTGCTGTTCATAAACAAGTGACACTAATTAAAAGCCCGGCGGTGTGTTTACTGGTGATTATTAGATACCAGAGGGCGTTTTAAATCCCACAGTTTTAGACCTTTCTAACTTTCGCTACTGAGTCCTTTTTTTTTTCTTTCTTTTTTTACTGAACAGATTTAAAACAAACCGATCTTAAAATCCTGCAGGATGTCTCAACCCACAGTTCTTGCTTTGCTTTAGTGTAGCGTGCTTAAGATTCTTCTTCAGTGCATTTTTGTAGCCGCTTAAAAAGAATGCTATTCAATAAACGATGCAACATGGTTTAAAACTGTTTTCGTTTAATTCCAACCCTTCTTTCCTCCACTTTTGTAAGAAACAACTGAGATGATGTTGCGCAAAACAAAGAACATAATCACTACACGTGTTGCTGCAAATCAGTTCTGTCCTACGCCTTATCAAAGGACAAACGCATGACGCATTTTGGGAATACTGCATCACATACAAACATATTCTGTTCCCACTCGTATGCAGGACAACATTTTGAGTATATTGCGTTGCCTTAGACCGTAATGTTTTTTATCAAAAGCTCATGTCCTTTGTCAAGTTCAAGCCAGTCAGTGAATTCTCTTGTCAGAAGCTAATTTATTACTTCCTCAGTAGTTATGTGGATGTGATGAGTGTGTATCTCGATACACCTTCTGAAGGTGTATCAAGAAGAGCAATCAAAAAAGGATGCGGTGAATATCGGAACAGACTTATTGTAAAGATTTAGTGTCCTGCTGTAGAAGTCTTCTTTTCATTAAGTTGCACAAAACGTGTCACTAAATAATAATGTTCTAAATAGTATTCAATGTTTTGGGGGTTTTTGTGGCTGAATTTAAGTTTAAATCTTGGAAAAGACAACATAAAGGAATAAATAAATCAGCATTTTAAATCAATGCATAAGTATTTCCTGCTGTCTTTAATACCAGAGCTTTAAATAATGACTCTTATTTTGAAAAATTATGGATTTTTTTTTAGCCTAATTTTATATGTTTTGCACAAATGCACACAATATTCCAAGATCTTGTGGCATGTGTTAGCTAAATATGTGTGGAGAATAACTCCTAGCTACTATCACACCAAATTATTATTTCTTCTTCTTTCGGCTGCTCCCTTCTTCAGGGGTCACCACAGTGAACTCAGTCGCGCAAAGACTTGGCAATTATTTTTACGTCGGATGTCCTTCCTGACACAACCACAGACCACCGAGCTACCACAGCCCTCTGTGTGGAGCAGAGAGCTGCCATCTGGCGCCCAGGGGAGCAGATGGTGGAGGTTAAGGGTCTTGCTCAAGGGCTCAGAGTGGGGCAAATGAGGGTGGAGACCGGAGCGGGTGCTTCACTTATCCTACCCACATTTTGTTGTAGTTGGTACCGGGACTTGAATTAGTGATCTTCCAATCACAGGCCCACCTTCTTTAACCTCTGCGCCACCACTCCCTCCACTATCGCACCAAATATGACTCCAAATGTAGACTCATCTGTAAATGTAGCGATTTTTTTAACCATTCTTGTCTTTGCTAAATCCACTTAACTCTGGCGGCCATGTTAAATTGGTTTGACTCCAAAACTGAATCCGTTGTAGACGAACATTTTGCAATTTATTTTTATTTTTTGTGAGCGTTACAATTAAATCCGTTGGCTTGTTAATGAGTTGTTAACAGAGCACAAACAAAGGAATTCACACAACTAGACATAGACACAAGCAAATACTTTTTTTGGCTGTGGCAATCGCTAAATATAATTATTTTATGTTCATTACTCTAAATGTGGTCAGATCTTTATCTAAATTACAGATTTAGACTAACACAAACTGGCTGAACTGATAATAAAAACCAAATAGCCTTTAATGCCTCCTGAGACTTTGTTGGGGGGAAAAAAGCTGAATTTCCAAGTTAAGGACTTATTTTTGTCTCAACCTCACTTTTACAGCTCACTGCCTCTGTTGCACTGCGTTAGCAGATTCATTAGAGATTTTTAGAAAGGTAGCCGAACGAGCGAGAGATAAAAGTTTAGAAATGACGGCACATCAGCCTTACCATTTACGCTCGGAGCGTTCACAAACAAAGCAGTTAGTGACTGTAATAGAGTCTGTAAATGGCAGATCAATAGTGTTGTTGCTCCAGTGGAAGGTCACGCCTGGTCAAACAGAGAGCTGCAGGAGAGGAGTTGAGTCAGTGCATCAGGGAATGGACCAGCACAGACACAGACTGGCTTTTATACACCGCCTTAAATTAATGTGTGCTGTGTTTGGATGAGAATAAATGTTTTAATCCCGTGTAGTGGGATTATGGTTTCAAGATTTGTGCTAACGAGTTTTCAGCACACACACATGTTAATAACTACAGTAAAATATTGTAAATACCTGAAAGCTGTTTGTTTTGAGCTTTCAATTGGGAAGTCTTAATACCACTAACAGAGTAAAGGTTTTGTTTTGGTCATGTAGATCATTTTGTTTTTCTCGGCTCTGAGACGTCTGCGCAGGAAAGTGATTCCTCTCACTATTATGCTAATACAACTCCCCTGAAGTTAGATTATGACATACAAGTCGTCACAAGGAATGAAAATAAATGAGCTAATTTCTGGTAATGTATTTGTGAGGGTATCATGGTCCATGAAGGGACTGGGCCCAGATGCAGGCAGACATGAGGAGCCCGAGTCAAACAAAGTGTATTATATAAATGAAAACAAAAAACTGACGTGGCAGCAACAGTTCACAAAACGCAGGGGTGCGCTAGAAGGAGGACTGAGACGATGAACTCCTGAGACTTTGTTGGGGGGAAAAAAGCTGAATTTCCGAGTTAAGGACTTATTTTTGTCTCAACCTCACGTTTACAGCTCACTGCCTCTGTTGCACTGCGTTAGCAGATTCATTAGAGATTTTTAGAAAGGTAGCAGAGCGAGCGAGAGATAAAAGTTTAGAAATGACGGCACATCCGCCTTACCATTTATTTATTGTAGGAGTGGTGATCAGAAATAGTTTAAACAGGACGGGAGGTGAGCGGAAAGTGGCACCAGCTGAGTGATTACGAATAGGAAACAGGTGTAAGTGGGAACTGACTGAAGAACTGAGAGGCCGAGGGAGGGTAAAAATGAGAACTGGCAAATAGAAGGAGTTGAAACAAGGGACAGAAAAATAAAACAAAAACCATAAAGAGAAATAAAATTAAGACTAAACTAACTAAATAACTGACAAAGCACAGACTATGACAGAAAGAAGAAACAGAGACCTTCTGCTTTATGTGGTATTTTGTAGAAAAACCTTTTAACGGCCCTGGATTGACTTTTGACAGCACCAAGCAGAATGAGTCTCCAAGCAGCCACGTCTGAGATGTTATCTTTTCTTCTATGACACCCTATTTCAATCACTTTGTCAAGGTTGTGGAGATAAAGCCTTAAATGCTTCTAACCATTTTGCTTTCAAGGGTATCCTCTCATTCACATTGGCATGTACATCGGTTAAGGCTCTCATCTCTCTTGACCGTATTATAGCTTATTTTCAGTTAATCTTCTATAGTCTTATAGGGACACCCTTAACATGTCTGAATCATTTCATTTTTTTTTTTTTTTTACATTGCAGTTAAGTGTTTTGAGGGATAAAAGAATGAGCAATTTGCCTTGAAAAACGCTGTACACCCAGTTTATTTTTAAGGTGATACAACTGTCAGAGTCTATGTGTTATTTGTTTTATAATGTTTTGTGTACTATTTGTATTAGGTGCACTATTAGATGCATCCCTGTCCC